AACTTCTATCCCAAATTTTGTTGTTTTTGACTATTCTTTCAAATCTGAAATTGACCTATGAAACTGCTACCTTTTTAAAGATTATTTTCACACATTTGTTGCATAATACCACCTCTAATTTTTTTTTTTTAATTTAAAAAAAAAGTTTTATTATTTCACTAAAAATATGGTATAAATATAAAACATAATTTTGATTATTTTGAATGATTAGTGTCCCATGTCATTGTAATCTGTTAACCATTAAAGAATCATATGTTGCATATTTTCATATTTAATTTGTTATCTTAACATTAATTCATGATTTTTTTTTAAATAATTATTTTTTATGTCATTTAAATCACAAAAAAATCTATTTGTTGTCTAATAAAAATATAAACATAAAACCAAAAATAAAGTTTAATTTTCCATTTATCAACATTTATTCAACTTTCCAATAAATTCAAATTTTTGATTTTATGATTTAGTTCTTCTGTGAATATTAATCATATTCCAAAATCTTTTATCTTCTTATAAACAATTTGTTTGTATATATTGGGTCATGAAAAAATGTTATCTATTAGTATACAGATGTTTATTTCTCTTTTGAATTTGTCAAAGCCATTCATTAAAAATCCTTATTGCCTATGCCACAGTCAAAAAGATACATAAAAACACTAGTTTCCATACCTTTTTCCATCTGAAAATAACAATATATGTTCTCAAATTTAAAAAAAATATTTAGATATGCTTTTCCAAAAATTAATGGTCCTAAATTTAGGTCAATGTCAAATTATCTTTATTTCCTTGCTTAATTGTCATAAATATAAAGTCATTTTAAGTCTATCCAAGTACTTTTCAAAGGTATATTGATTTAATTGTGAGTTTTCACAACTTTGACTATTTTCTTTGTATCCGATTCACCTTTTTCAAATATTCATATCTTGAACCCTGTGATCTAGAAATGTAAAATATATATCATTCAATTCATATTTTAGCACTTTTATAAGTGTTCCAAATTTGAAAAAAAAAAAAAAAAAAAATCTTGTCCACTATTTTTCAAAAATCATTATTTGGGCTATTGTCCTCATCTTTTTTTCACCATATTTATCCCAATATTTTTCAACAATGATGTATGCTTCAAGTTCCTTCTTTCAAGTGGTTGGTGATGTTGAATTGAACTCTTTATTTTGCTCAAAAGAAAGACTGTTCTAGTTCTTGTACCATGTTTAAATTTTGTCATTTATCTGTTATCTCCTGTTAAAATTCTCTCTCAAAAGTTCTCCAGTGCCTTAATCGAAAATTGAACTCACATCTTTAAAGAAATTCACTGGATCTACAAAATTTATCCATTCTTTTATATTTTAGTCAGACCAAACTTAATTTGACATGGAATTTGTCTCAAATTCAACTTCTTGTTCAAAAAAAAATCCAAACAACTTTTAGGATTAAAAATGAAAAAATAAATGTAAAATAAATTTTTAAAAAATAATATAAATGTATATTTATTGATATTCCTTAGGTTTTTTTTTTAATTAAATTTGAAAATTTGGAAAAAAAAAATGCAAAAAATAAAATTCTTTATTCCTGTTCAAAAAAAATAATAAAATAAAAATAAAAGAAATTTAAATTCTTTTATTTTCATATTTCTAAAAAAAAAAATTGCTCCATGGAATGCTTTTCTTTATGGTTCCCAGACTTTATGAATTCAAAATGCCATTCTAGGCTGGATCCCACAGGTTCCTATTCATTTAAATAAATTTTTAAATGTAGCAGTTCTACTATACCATTTATTTATGTGGAACAAATTCCCATATTGCACCCTTCCCTATTACTTTTTTTATATATATATATAATCTCCAACTATTCAAATGTAATATAACACACATCTCAGTTATTTATTAAATCTATCCAAATATAACAAAAATCTACATTATATTCATTCATTTTTTTCAAAAAGCAAATAAATATTTTGTACCATGGCTGTGGTCACCGCTCCCCAGATCTCAAATTAATGGTTCATGGCAGAATAGTGCAATGGCAAACAATATCCTTTTCACCTACTGGTGATGAAATGTAAGTTATTTTCTTCATAAAAAAAATACTTTAAGAAATTACTTTAAATTACAAATTCTGGTTTTTGGATTAGAGGTTTCTTTCAGACAATTACAAGCACAGCACAATGTAACAAGATCTAGTTTGTCCTGCTATTTTACCAATAGCTGGGGAAAAGCAATTACACAGGCCAATACACTTTTATATTACCAATGATTTTTATAAAATCCACAGCAAAGGTTTTTACCTTGGAAATTGCATTGGGCAACAATTTTTTTTTACTTTTAATTTTATTACAAATAAAGAAAACTGAACAATGTATTTTTTTAGTATTTTATTTGTAGACATTCTTTAAACGATTCTTTTATTTTGTTTAAGAAAAAAAAAAGTGACAGCATCCAAATCTCCCAGAACAATATTTTGTTTTTCTTCTAATTACAGATCATCTGTCTCTATGGTCTTATAATTTTTTTTGTCTTTGTTTTAGGATTTTATCCATTAATTTGCAATTCCATTGAAGTTCTTCAAATGTTTAAAAATTAGAAAAGTTTGGTTCCTCATTGTTTTTCTCTTGTTAATATGTGATTGATCAAACAATAACTTTTACTGATTTTATTTTACATCACAATTAAAGTTTGGATAAAATGAGCATTTATCTGTTAAAACATAATTTAAAAAAATGACAGGTGAACACTTTTTTATATATAACTAGCAGTAGAGCCCAGCGTTGCCCGGGGATGTAACAGTAAGAGATAGATCAAGTATCGACCATCATAAAGACTGAAAAATAAAATTGACAAAGATTATTGTTTAAGGTTGACGGACACGCATGTCTTAATTAGTTTTTTTTTTTTTTTTTTTTTTTTTTTTTTTTTTTTTACGAATTGGTCAAACCCAAACTCAAACAAAAACATTGTTTTCAATCGTTATGAGTCTACTGATTGAATAGAATTTTATTATAAACAATTGTCTTGTAAATGGAATTTTTAAAGCATTCTGAATGTAAAAATAAAGAAAAAAAGTGTGCAAGACAATAAGAAACACTACCTGCCAAAAAAAAAAAGTGAAGTTTTGTTGAAATCGGTTGAAAAATGTAGGAAATCCGATCCCATATATAAATGAACACACACACACACAAAACACACCCTGGGTTTTATAATAAGTATAACTCGATATGAGTTGTCCCCCTTTCATTCTCATGACAGAATGCCTCTTAATCGTGTTTTCAAATTGATTTCGTGCAAAAAACAATTGTGTTTTTCCAATTTTTGGCATTGTCAGAACCACCGCAAAGGTAATTTTACGTAGTCCTGTGAAGTTTTGTTGAAATCGGTTGAAAAATGTAGGAAATCCGATCCAATATATAAACGTACAGACACACAAACAATCTGCGTTTTATAATAAGTAAGATTTTTAAGTACTTAGTAATCTTAAAAATATTGAAAAGTATTCTCTAATTTTAGGAATGTTGACTTTAAATTTACTATAGTTATCAATCTTATTTTCTGGTAATGTTGTGTACAGTCACACATACTTTCAAAATAGGCATGTTTATATGCATAAAAAAATGTAAAAAATTATTTTAAAAATCTTCGTGCATGATTTTGATTATTAAATATAGTTTTTATTTAATAACCAAACACAATCAAAGTTCTGAAGAATTTTTAAAAGATTTTTGAAACTTTATAAATTATTAGAATAAAAAAAATTTAGAAAAAATGAAAACACTTTTTATAAAAATTCATTATTTATTGAAAAAAAAATTTTATGACTATAATGTGCTTAATATATCTTATTCATAAAAGCAATTAAAAGTTTATCTAATTAAATAACATGATAGTTTTACTGCGTTTTTTATTTTACTATTCAGAGCAGATTTTCAGGAAAGCAGTGACTGTTTGGGGGCGGGGAAGAAAAGGTGATTTACACATCTCTAAGTAGTCCTGCTTTTTAACTAATAAAACAAAGTTTGTGCTCAGAATTTAATTTCTAGAAATTTCTAGAAATTATGTGTGTATTTAACAGATGTAAAAAAAAAAAAATTTTAGATTTTCTAAAGATAATAATTTCAAAAATAATTTCATTCACTTGATTACTTCAGCCATTGTTTTTATCCACTAGGCCATGTGAATACTTGACCCAAAGAGTTGTGAGTTCAATATTCTAAAACAGCAGAAGTGGACAAAAACTTGGAGATTTGAGTTATTGAAGGGGAATAACTTTAACTTTATAACCAGAAAAATTGGCATGGGGAACTAAAACAATATAACCCCATGGATGAAAGAAAATGGTTCAGTTTGAAATTATTTTAATTATATCACCTGTTTTATCCAATGTTGCAGGGTACAATGGCTAAAATGTTGTGAATATGACGATAAAGATGAGGACAACAGTCTGAATGATGTCTATAGAGTAAATAGTTAAAATACCTCTATAGACAGAAACAATAATCCAGATTATTATTTAAATCTATTAGAATATTAAGTCTGCTTATTTATTAGATTATTTGCAATAATATCTGTTTATCCATGTTTGTCAATTTTTTTTTCCCTATAAAAAGGGCAATGGCCAGCTACGAGTACTTCTCTCTTTGGAAATTGCAATGGCCAATGTTTGGTTTGGTTAATGGCATGTCACTTCCTTATGGGGTCATTTAATGCTGAAATTTAAATTTCTTAGGAGCTTTGGTAAATTTGTTTTCAAAAATATATTACTGATAGTATTTCTCTTCCTGAGAACACCAGCAATTAAAAGATGGTTCCACGCTCCTCAAAAACTCCTGATCAGAGGCCTTGCTGCTGGACGTAGTTTATTGTCTTACCTAGGACACGCAATGGCCAATGGTTACCATCAGATTTTAATAGGGAAACTATTTCTATGCTTTTTGCATTAAAATCAGTTATTCAGTTTTTATAATTTTTTTTCTCATATTTTTTGGGCTTTTTTTTTTCTTTTTTTCTAGGTATTAGAACATGAAATGCCTGTCATGAAAATTGTGCTCATCAACCAGGGCCGTCAAGTTCTCAGTGGGTAAGTTTTCATGCCTTTCCTACTCCATCTTACACCCTAAACCTGTCCTTGTATGTTCATTGTCACTAATGCATTTCTAAAAACAAATTTTCTAAATGAACAAACAATACATGCAGTAGTTAAAAAACTTTCCCCCTGATTTATTTTTTGAGTGCTTGAAACATGAAAGCTATTGTATACTGATTTTTAACAAGGTTTTGTTTTAATCTCATAATATTAAGCTCTAATCTTGTCTACTTTTAAAAAATGAAATGCTACAGATAGTGAATTTCTACTCCATTTGTTCTTATTCCATATCTGGAGATATATATATATACACACACACACACACACACAAAAAACAAAAAAACTGGTAGCTTCTATCTGTTGCTGTTGCTAAAATCAACCATAAAAGGAACTGAAATTAATCATCTCTTTCTCTTAGCATGTCAGTGTTGACATCAAATGCAGATCTGTGTTGTCTCTTTCTCATTGTGTTGGTATTGACATCAGATGCTAGTCTCTGTCGGGTCTGTTTGAATTTGGGTGTATATAGTTTTTAGTCGGCTCAAAATTAAGGTTTTGGTTTTTTGAGCAGGAGTGGCTCAGACTGGTCATATATTGTTAATTTTGTTTTGGTTAAAGCAGATGTCTTTTTTTAGTGATGCACAGAAAATGTATTTAAAAGTTTCCTTTGGAGTTTTTCGAAAAGTTTTTTCCAATTTGTGTTGAAAATGTAAGAGGCTAATACGAACAATATAAAATAAATTGCTGGTCTTTTGTTTCTAAATTGGCAGCATTTCTCTCTCAGTTGGCCAAATATTATTCTGCCTCTCTCTGACCACCATTGATACATTCCTTTTCCTGTAATCATGTAGATATGTCCGTTGTTTCTCTAACTTCTGTTGCTATGTTCCTTTTCTCCAATCCTCCCCAGTCACCGCATTCCCTTTCTTGCGATCATCTCCAGCTGCCATGTTTCTTTTCCCTGAAAGTTGCTCTGTTTTTTTCCCTTGACCTACACTTTTCTGCTCCAGTTCAATTAACATTAAATTCAATATTTGTTCCTGTGTTGACTTTCATGGCAAAATTTGTGACAATGTTCTTCGATTGTCCATTGTTCACTGCACTTGTGATAACATCCAAGGTTGATTGTATTTACATGTGCACCAAACTTGCAATGTCGACTATGATCGTTGTCAACACAAAATGAAGACAATTGTTTTTCAAGAGTTTCTGGTTGAGAAATAGCAGCAATATGATTTCTCACTTAACCAAAGGATCTTTCCTCCAACTTCAACAGAGGGAGAGGGGCTTCTATTTTACTAAACCTCCAGCTACAGAAAAGGACCTTTACATTCACTGCCTGTTGCCCATCCTGAGTATGACAATAAACTACATCCGCATCCTGGGTAAGACAATAAACTACTTTCAACAGCAAGGCCTCTGATCAGGAGGTTTTGATGAGCGTAGAATCACCTCTTAATTGCTGGTGTTCCTAGGTCCACCCTCATCTGGGGTGGTAGCACCTGTTAGAGTCCCAGCTATGGGCCAATAGCTAACACCCAAACTTATGTAAAAATAGGTTTTAATACCAGAAATACTTTGTAATAAAAAAAAAAAAAAAAATTATTACAAACAATAATTTTTGAAGGAAGAATTATCAGTAATAATTAAAATTTACAGTGAAACATATTGATATGTTCTGGAAAGGGATATATTTGAATGAAGTAGCTAAGTGGTTTTGTCTACTATAACCAAGTAGAATACAGTAGCAGTAATCAACTGGGTATGTGTCGTAGTCGCAGGTAAGAAGCATAGGTCAATGGCGTAGTCCAATGGGTGTCGTATAGACTTAGCTCTCAGACTAAGGCTTTTGACTCACCTACACGTCCGTTGATATTTATGACGGACACCAGCCAATCATATTCCATTGAGAGGGAACGCAGGTGTATGCATATCCCATTATATCACATATACTGTTAGAGGGTGTAGATTTTGATCTAGTGCGAAGTGAGTAATTTAAAAAAAACAAACTTTTTACAAAAATAAAACCATCGAAGATTGTAAATTTCCTAATTGGAGGTGGTTTGTATTAAAAAATATGATTAATTGAAAACTGGTTCAAATATATATGTATACATACACAGCTTTTTTACCAAACTATCGTTATGAATCTATTTAAAAAATTTTGTTGGCATTTAAATGACCCACTGAGGTTTTGATATGCCATAAAACAACCAACCAACCACTGCCTGTCGCTGGGTTCCCTGCTGATTTCTCACTGCCTATTCTCAAAATTCTTGTGTAATTTGTCAAATTTTTTTGTACAGGAACTTGTATCATTTTCTTTTTGTACAGAAACCTATATATTAATACTAATTTTTCTATAGAAACTTATATATAATTAATACTGTTGTGACAACATTCTCCAATTGGCCATCATTCACAGCACCTGTGATGACATCCAAGGTTAATTGTATTTGCATATACACCCAACTGTCTATGTGCACAAGTTTGTCCTTTCAACCATGATTGCTTTAACAAAATATAAATGAAGACAATTGTTTTTCAAGATTTTCTGTTTTGGGAAGTAGCAACAATACGATTTCTTACTTAACTGTGGGATTCTTCCTTCAGTTTCAAGAAGTGGACTGCTATCTTATTAAACCTCCAACCATGGAAAAAGGACCCTTCCACTCACTGCCTATCGCTTCAGATCCTGCTGATTCCTTACCACCTGGCTGCTAGACCCCTATCTACCCTAACAGCCTCTCTCTGGATAATGGCTAGGATCCCACCCTCTTCATCCACTTGTGTTCCAGAAGGTTTGAGACCACCCCAAAGCCAGATGGGTGATCAAATCTTCAAAGGACAACTTTTATGACCATGTAAAATCATTGTTAAAATTTTTGTTTTTTCCCCAATTCAAACATGAACTGGAGACAAATCCCCAAAAACACTGACACTTATGTTTACTCAAAGATGGACTGGAGATGAAATTCCTATGAAACTCAAATAACGAAGTGGACTTAAAAGAAATTAATCTATTTACCTTCTAAAGATGTGTGAGAAATTGTATTCTTATCGGCCACCTTCGATTCTCATTCTATTTAGAATCTGTTGAGTCATACAAATTTAGAATTTCTTGTCCTTAAGAAGTCGGCCACAAAGAAAAAAAAATTGAAACAATTGGCAGCTACTATTTTCTTTTTTTTTTTTTTTTGTCCCCCCCTCAGGACAAGTGACGGCTTCTTGAATATTTGGGACTTACTCACGCAAACCCTACAGAGTCATATGGAAGGTCATAGCCAACATGCATGGGCCATTGATGTCAGCAAAGATGGCAAGCATGTTGTGTCTGGAGGATCTGATTCTCTCATTAAATTCTGGCAGGTAAGTGTTATTTTTTTTTATTTTTTTTAAAAAATGACCCCATTGACTTGTTTAACTTGATTCTCTGATTCTGTCAATTCTGTGTGGTTTACACAGGGAGTCAAAGATACACAAATACAGTAGCCAAAAAGCACTCAAACTATGAAAGCTAATGATATTGTGACAGTGTGTGGACCCCTAGGTGGGCTGAAAATCCATATTTTTGTATACTGGTTAAACTAGAGAATAATAACAATATCAAGTGATGGTTGTTCTCAGAGACAAGAGATCAGCCATTTTTATATATATATATATATATATATAATATATATATATATATATATAAACTTCATCTGCATCCTGGGTAAGACGATAAACTATGTCCAACAGCAAGGCCTCTGATCAGGAGGTTTTTGAGGAGTGTGGAACCACTTCTTAATTGCTGGTGTTCCCAGGTTCACCCTGACCCAGGATGGTAGCACCTGTTAGGGTCCCAGCTATGGGCAAATAGTTAACCCCGAAACTGAGGTAAAAAGCATTATAAAAACATAAAAATGGGTTTTAGTACCAGAGATACTTTGGTAAAAGAATTGTTACCAGAAATAAATTTTTGAAGAAAAAAAAACTATTATCAGCAATATGTTTTTGAAAAATGTTTTAAATTAATATTACTAGCAATACATGTTTTAAAATAATATTGCCAGCTATACATTTTTGGGGAAGAAATATTACCAGAGACAAAACAAAATATTACCAGGAAAAAATTGTCGGCATTAAATAACCCAATGAGGTTGATATGCTGTAGAACACAACAAAATATATATATATATATATATATATATATATATATATGTATATACACACACACACAGGGTAGGGGTCTTCGACTTATGTCAGAGATTTTGTTTCTATCTGATTTTTGGCGTAGGTTAGAACTCACTTACATCAGCACCCACAAGTCTGCCTTACACTTGGGAGCCAGAATGAAGGGCAAAAAGTTCCCCCAAAAATGACACAACCGAGAGATAGCGAATGTAGCACAATCCAATATGGTGAACAGCTTGTGAAGAAACAACGCTGTCTTCCTCATACAGCACAGTGTGACGACATATTATGTTTTGGGAGATGTCACTGTAGCTACGAAATGCTGTATGTCGGGCCGAACATAACCCAAAGACCTTCTGTATATATATATATATATATATATATATATATATATGCTCTAGCCAATACAAAGATGACACAAAATCATAGAAACTGTTATAGAAGGAAGAGAACAAGCCACAATAAATAAAATATTTATCTTTCTTTTTGCCCAACAAATTTAAGATGTTATATAGCTTCAACTGATGGCTGAAATTGTTTGAAATTTTGCAGCATATTTCATTTACATTATACCATTTATTTTAATAATTTTATTGTGTCTATGTAAATAGCGAATGTACCTGAAATGGCAATTGCTTGTAAAACATAACAAGCCACTGTAAAATCAACAGTAAATGAAAAACATATACACATAAATGAGGCACCATAAAAACAGAGAAACTATGCAAGCAAATTCTAATTCACTCAGTGTTTTCTAAACATGTATGGGGAAATTAAAAACCAAACCCAAACTACACCATCCGCATCTATCAATAAATCAAAAGACTGTAAACTCTGTCTGGAGGAGAAAATAGCTATAATCATTTTTGCAGATGCAAAAATAAATTTTTACTATGTTATTTAAAAAGTGAAAACTAAAAATGAATACCTTGGAAAAGACCACTTTGAAAATGCAAATATATATGTTGCATACAATGCTGGTAATATAAGATGCTTTAAACCAAACCAATAAGTAAACCTACCTCCAGAAAAAATAAAAATGAGCAAAAACTACCTCCAGAAAAAATTAAAATGAGCAAAAACTACCTCCAGAATAAAAAAAAAAATACCTCCAGAAAAAATTAAAATGAGCAAAAACTACCTCCAGAATAAAAAAAAAAAATACCTCCAGAAAAAATAAAAATGAGCAAAACATCTAAATACATAAATAAAGTAAAAAATTAACAAACTATGGTTGCACACATAAAACACAAGTATAAATAATGAGTAAAAATTTTAACAAAACTGTAAAATAGCCATAAATGTCTCCGTTCAGATCCATGATTATTTCTATTCAAGAGCCTCTAGATTCATTTGAAACATAACCCTCTCTACTCACCCAATAGACATTAGTATAATGCAATAGATCTTGCACCATTGACCAGCATATATAAATAGTTGAGACAAAACACAATACACATGGCCTGAAGATTGCATTCAAGCATGAAACAGATTATCTCAGCTCAGTGTGGACCTCAGTATCTACTTTTATATTTACATACACTCTATCCCTAATAATGAGCACATTGACCCAGAAATATAACATGCATTAAAACTTTATTTTATCATATATATATATATATATATATATATATATATATATATGTAAAAGTGAACATTGAAATCAACAGTCAGAGGCAACAGATTGTTTCATGCTAAGCACAATCAGGCCTGATGATTGTGTTTAGCATAAACAATCTGTCGCCTCTGAGTGTTGATTTCAATGTTCACTTTATATTTTACATATGCTCTATCTCTGATATTGAGCAGTTTATCCCATAAATATAGCATACCTTAAAACTATATTTCTTCATATATATATATATATATATATATATATATATACACACACACACACACACATCTTCTACAGACACAAAAATAAATTTTTACTATATTACTTAAAAATTGAAACCTGAAAAATGGTAAATTTTGAAAAATACAACCTTGAAAATGCAAATATATATGCTATATACAATGCAAAGAAAATATAACACATTTTAAAGTAAACCAGTGTGACAACCTACCTCCAGAAAAAATAAAAAGTGAACAAAAATCTAATCTATATATATATATATATATATATATATATATATATATATATATATATATATAATATCAATATATATATATATATTTTTTTTTTTTTTTTAAGCATTTCACCCCAAGCAAGGTGGAAGCCACTAGTACATAAGGAGTTACAGGGAGTTGGAGTGAGAGCAAATAGGAGTAATAGAGTAAGGATGAAGAGAAGGATATGGGATAGATCAAGCCATCTGGAGACTTCGATTGACATTACATTTAAATAGTTGGAGATTATAGCTATCAGGGATACAGGAAAATGTGGAGGGAGTTCCACAGGCGAGAAGTACAAGACATAAAGCTACTGGAGTAGAAGAGACGGCTAAATTTAACAGTTTTGACAGTGAAAGGGTGAGAGTGAGATGCCAGCTTAGCAGAACGCTTAAATTCATGAAGTCTGGGAACCAGTGAAAGCAGCTCATCGGAGCAGTTACCATGAAAGTATTTAAAAATGACAGAGGGTGGCAACAGCACATCTGTGAGATAAATATAGGTAAATGTATTCACACACACACACACATATATATACTCTATCATGTAATAAAAAATGGTGCTAAATGTTAAAAACAGAGCTATTATATATTAGCAATTTAACTCCCCCTCCAACAAAATCGTCAAAACTAATATCAGACAAATTTCTTTGAATTCAATCCATAAACACTTAATTCCCCAACGCTAAGTGAGATTTTCAACAAAGATGTCAAATTTAGCTAGTTTTGATAAAAACATCGACCAGTATAACTGTTCCATTCTAAACAAACTCTTCAATAACCTTCAAAACAACACCACCCTCGCAACTAATGATTGCGACGTCAGAAAAAAATGAACCCTGCCCTGTAAATGCCAGATGTATGACCAAATCGTTAGTTTATAAAGCTAAAATTAAATATGGCATCGAGGTCAAGTTTTATGTGGGCCGTACAGAAAACCATTGGAAATTGTGCTATTATCACCACCAATTGATATTAGGCAATAGTGAATATCGCAACAGCCCTGCCCTCTGTAAAGTTTTCTGGAAACTGAAAAGTGAGGATAAAAATCCACCTGCCACCTGGAAATCAATATCAAAAGCTAATCCCTTCAGTGGGGAAGGCAACACATGTAACTTATGTCTTTCTCAAAAATTAATAATCCTGAAAAATATGAACAATCCTAGTCTCTTAAACAAAAGAAGTGATTACCTGCCTACATAGAACCAAATTCCTACTCAAACCCAGATCAGTATAGTCTAGCTGGGCCCTGGGACCACATATATTAGTATTGATATTATTTATTTTTATTAATATTTTCACTATCTTTTCTATACAACTATTGTTATTATTAGACTGTAATATATATATATATATATATATATATATATATATAAATAAATAAGTGAACATTGAAGTCAACATTCAGAGGTGACAGGCTGTTTCATGCTAGATGCAATCATCAGGCCACGAGAGTTGGCTTTTTCTTCTCTATATATGGGTCAGTGGTGCATTGTGGGTAATCCATTCTGGTTGTTATTTTGGCTTGTTTATTTATTTGGGTTAATTTATTTTACTTTATTTTCATTTTTTATTTTATATATTTCTTTATACTTTTCGGTTTTCAATGTTTTATTAACATAGTAAAAAATTTGGGGGTATTTGTTTCGGTCACTTATTTAATAGTCTGTTTTAGTCTGGGAAGATAAAGCTATTTATTTGTCTAATTTTTGAATTGATTGCCATAGTCTATTCTGCTATTTTGGCAGGGGGCAGTTTTTAATTTGGATTACCCATTTATTATCCTGACCCATATATATAAATAGTCTAAAAAAATCCCACAGTTTCTAGCCTGATGATAAATCTGTTAAAAAACAACCTGTTTCCTGAGTTGATTCAATATTCACTTTATATATTTATATTTACATATGCTCTGTCTCTGATATTAAACACTTTATCCATAAATACAGCACACCTTTCTCTATTCCATTCTTATTCCATCTTTTCCTTCTCTATTCCATTCTTATTCCTTTCTCTATTCCATTCTTATTCCATTCTTTATTCCTTTCTCTATTCCATTCTTATTCCTTTCTCTATTCCATTCTTTAATTTCTTTTTCTATTCATTCTTTACCAAAAAAAAATCTCTATTCCATTTGCTATATTTAATTATATATATGTCATTCATTTGAGACCGATTTAATCTCAGATTTTTTGAGACTAAAACTAAATCATAAACTTCACGTGAAAACAGGAGTCCTTGGAAACACACACATAAACTTTAATATTTCATTAAAAAAAATTTTTGAGAAAAATATTTTCATTTCCTTTTAATGTTTCCCTTTTTACCTACCTGGTTTCATTCGAAAGCTTTTTTCCTTTCCTTTTGCTTTCAAAATTTCCTGTGACATTTCCTTTAAATTAATTTACACTTCAGAAAGACATAGAAATTCCATTAAAATCACACATTGATTCCCATAAATCTGATTGTTATTTTTTCCACTTCCTGAATTGACAAGATTTTCCCATCCCTTTCACTTTTATTTGTTCGACCAGAATTTTGATCTGTTTTATGTCCATTAGCATCAGGAGGTTTTTTCCTTCAAATTTTTTTCCTTTTTTTTTTGGGAGGAAGTCATTTCCTGTCAATTTTTATTTACTATAAAACTTGCGGTTTTTATTTCTTTTCCTTTTTTTTTCTTTATTGAGAAAGTTTTTTTCTTTCTTTTCAATTTTTAATCCTTTGCCATTTCTTTTCCTTTGAGGCCTTTTTTTTTATCACCATTTTTTCTTTAAAAAAAAAAGCAAACTTTTTTCTTGTTTTATTTCTTTTCCAGATTGAAATTTCTTTCCAGTTCGTTTCGTATCTTTCTTTCTTTTCTTTCTTTCTCCAACAGAATTATCTGCTTCTGATTCGTTTCCTATTCCTTTAAACACATTTTTTTTTTTTCCTTTCTTTCTTTCACCTTTCGGTAATTTTTTTTTTCTTAATTTCTGATTTTAAATTTTTCCTTTAAATACAAATCTTTCCAATTTTTTTTAATTTTTCTTTCTTTGTTTTTTCCTTTTTCCTTTTTTATTTTCTTTCTTTTTTTATTCCTTTTTCTTGTCCTGTTTCTTTTTGATCTTCTTTTCTTTGTTCAGTTTTTTAAAAAAAAAAAAAAAAAAAAAAAAAAAAGATGAGAATTTTCTTTCCTTTCCTTTTTCTTTTTTTTTTCCTGGTCAATTCGTTTTTTTTCTTTTTTTTTCTTTTCTTTCTTTTTCATCATTCTATTTTCTTGTTTTTTTCTTTATTAAAAAAAAAAAACACATTCCTTATTTTCTTTCTAGGACCATTGTCCTTTTCACTGACGCTATTTTTTTTTTTCCTTCTTTATTTCCTTCTCTTTCAACCTTTTTATTTTTTTCCATCAATGTTTTTGATCCTCCTTTTCATTTTTTTTCCACTTTTTAGAAGAAACATCTATCTTCTTTTTAAAAATTCCCTTTTAATTTCTTTTTCACAGAAATTCTTTCTTTTCTTCTTTCATTTCTCGATTCGTCCTATTTTTGTGGAATGTAAATTTTCATGTCTCCTTGAATTTTAATCTTCTTTTTTCGTTCATTCTTCATCTTTTTAAATGCTCATCCTTAAATTTTCAGTTTGCCAATTCATTTAGAATTTTCTTTCCTTTTTCCTTTTTGCTTCCAAAATTTCTTTCTTTAACTTTCATTCATTATTTTTTCTTTTTTGAAATCGTTAAAATATCAACGATTAATTCACAATTCTTTCAATTATCTATCTAAAATTCTTTTGAACACTTTAGAAAAATCTAGAAAATGTTATTTTTTTCATTTTTTCTTTCTTTTCTTTTCAGGTTAATTTTTTGGAAAATCTTTTAATGAGGATTATATAAACTAAATGTTCTTTCTTTCATTAAACATAACCTCTCTTATTTTGACTACACTTTCTTTCCTTCATTGTTTCTTACATTCATTTTCGATAATAATAACTCCAGAATAAATGTAAACATGTTGATATTTGAATTTCCAAATTGAAATTCTCTTATTTTACCATTATATTTTCTTGATTTTCAGGATAAGAGATTTTTCATAAAGAAAATTTCATTAAAATTTCAAAATGAAAAATTTAATATGATGAATCAATAACTATTGCAAAGTATTTTAAAATTCCAATTTTCTTTCTCCCTTTTTGAAATTTGAATTTAAATCAAACATTACACATTTTACTACATCTCATTATTATAACATTTTTCTTTCTTTCTTTCTTGGTTTCTTATCATTGATTTTGAATTCTAAAAATTTTTCTTCAAAAAGAAATTTCTAAATAGTTTCTAAACATATTTTAATTTCTGAACTTTCTAAAATGATTTGGAATATTATATTCTTTTCTATGTTTTGTCTGTTTTAATCATTTCTTAATTTTGATTTGTGATATTTTAGTTCGTCACATTATTCTGCGCTGAAAATTTCATCCTTTTAATTGCATTCATATTGATCAGTTTCTTCAACAACTTTATTCATACAAATATAAAGTTATTGGTATTCAAAAGTGTTTTTTCTTGAACATTTTACATTTTTTTCCCAGTTTCAAATTTCTTTCATCTTTCTTTCTTGCCATTTTCCTAACAATTTTTTTTTTAGGATTATTTTTTCAAACCATTTAAACTTAACAATCAATTTTAGGCTAAAAATCTTTTTCTTTTTCAATTTTTTTTCATTTTCCTCTGTAGAGAGAAGGATTCAGCCTATTTTGCATCATTTTAAAAAAAATTCAGCAATGTTGTAATGAATACTTAATTTTGAAAAACTAAAATAGTTTTAAAGAGTACAATCCAAATTTTTTTGATAAACACATGCTATATATATTGTTTTGGCATATTTATATATTTTTAAGGACATCCAATTTTAACGAAAATGCACAAAAATGTCTGGCTTTATTCATACATAAAATATTCATATAGTATTTCCATATATATATATCTATATAAATATATGTTCAAAGACCAGATGCCAAATTTTTTCAAATTTAATATATGTAGATTTTATTTTTAATAAACTTTCATATATATGGATTTATATTTATATATGTATTTATATTTCAAGGCTTTTTTAATTTTCCTAACGTTCATTTAGTTTTTATTTATCTAAACATTTTAGAATTTAAAAACATCATGATAGTTTGTTTTATTCTTCTTTAATTCAAAAAATTGATTTTATTTTAAAGTCAGATATCATGTTAAATTTTTTTCCGTCCTCTGCAGTCCAAGTTTTTTTTTTAGTTTAAAGGAAAAAATCCACTCTTACCCTGAGACTTTTTTATACCTTTTAAAATCCAGAATACAATGCAATATCAAGAGCATTTTTTCCAACCTGCAGCCCTATTAAACATACATGAACATTCCCTTTGACAAGTGGAACGAAAACAAATCCTTGCATTTGGACCACCTATTGAATTCGAATTTTTCATTAATTTTCCTCTAAATTTTTTTAAAGGACGCGTGTATTTTTTTAAACAATTCCTTCAATTAAAATATTCTGAAAATAATTAAATTTTTTGTACAATGTAAATTTTTTTTACGCGACTTCAATCACAAAATTGGATGTATATTAAAATCTGTCAAAAAAGGAAAAGCATTGCCCCTAAACTGTTTTTTTATCAGCATTACATTTTGATATATAACCGTCTCTAGGGAAAATAAACAAAATTTATAATATAGTTAAATACAACAAATTTGACAGGACACTTTTACAATGTACAAAACTGGAAATATAATTGTTGCTCATCGTTTAAATTGATTGATTCGTTTAAAATAAGTAATTTATCTATACATACAAGGTGAAGTCATATGAATATTTAAACTGTTCCTCTGTGATAATTCCAGTAATCCATATCACGTGGTGCAAAAGTCTTGGGCATTTTTTTTTTACGTTAGGACAAGGCCGTATTTTTATTTAAATATAAATACATCCAGGGAAGAATCACAAAAATGAAAAAAATATTTCATGACAAAAAAAAACCCCAAATGAAATTACAGTTATAAAAAACAAAACAAAAAAAACAGATTTGGTATACACACAGTCCTTTATCAAAGAAGGTTCGTTTGGGCTGAGAATGGTTATGCTAACAGTAGGATTCAAATTGTCATCAAAAATGCAGAGAAAAAGTGGTGCGCATGTTAATATATCAATGTTAAAAAACTGATATGGATAATATTTGCGTAAAGTAATAACAAATCAATTTGTTTAAATAAAAAATATTTTCTATAAGAACTGACAATGAAGTGATCGCTTCACAAACCAAAACTAGTTTTGGTTCATTTTATATATAATTTCTCTCCATATTCTTTATTTATTCTTTCTTTCTTTTCTTTCTTATTTATTCCTTCGCTCTCTTTCTTTCTTTCTTTCTTTCGTTCTCTTTCTTTCTTTTCAAAAATTCAGACGTTCTTTTCCTTTCAAAAGCAAGAGATTTTTTTTTCATTCATTAGGGAATTTTCTTTTTTCTTTTTCTTTCTTTGCTTATTCTGGCTATATTTCTTTTCTTTTCTTTCTTTCATTCCAGTGTTTATTTTTTAATTTATTTAATTCTTAACCTTTTCTTTATATTTTTGTCTTTTTTTTCTTTCATTGATTAAAACTTCAAATTTTCTTTCTTTCTTTCATTTCAAAGAAAATCTTTCTTATTCTTTTTTTTTTTTCTTTCTTTCAACTGCTCTAAATTCATTTTCTTTCCTTTCAACTTGGTCTTCATTTCTTTCTGTTGGACTCGTTCAATTTTGTTTCCTTCTTTCTTTCTTTCCAAAGGCCATAAATTCAAACTTTGTTAGCTTTTTTTATCTATCTCCTTCTTTTTTGTTTCCTTGCAACATAATCTATTTTTTATTTCTTTCTCTTTTCAATATGGCTTCCATTATCAATAATCTATCCTGATACCAGAGAGAGAATAGCAACAGTCAATCATCTCAGTGAAGAGAAAATCTTTGCTTGCTCGAAAATATAGTTGGTATGTCGGTTGATTACGTCTTCCATAAAACGTGAATAAACCATTTTTTGTGTTTGAACGATCCGAACTAGTGCAATATGTTCTTGATCAACAAACACCGAATCGTTTCTTTCTTCCAAACTTAGTAATGTCCGGAATCTTTCGATTACTGTCCATTGAATTCTATCTTTTTTTTCAGGGCTTACGTTTAATGGACGATGGATCTTTCAAAGAGATATCCGTCTTATCTGTCATTAGGTTGTCAATAAAAGAAACAATTGCACATATACCCGGAAGATGGAAATGTAGTCATTCTCCATATCCAAACTTTATGATGTGTAAACTGTTCACAGGGTGAATTTAGTAACAAATCAAAATTTGCAAACAAATATTTTTCAGTTACATATTTACACTTTCATCATTAACATAATCAGTTACATATTATTTTTTCACCTTAAAACTAAGGATGCATTAGGAAAATAAAGCAGAGTATTAAGAAACATGAAAATCTTCAAAAACACAAATTGCTTAACTGCAAGGTTATTTTGTTTGTTTAGCAGCATATAAATAAATGAACAAATTAACAAATCGGACCCCACAAAATAATCGTAAGAACTAATAAAAATAAGCATAAATAAACAAAACCAAGTAAAAATAATCAATCCAAATAAATTGATTAAAAACTGCCAACCCGCCAATATCACAGAATAGACTACGGCAAACAATCTAAACAGTGGCCGAATAAATAATTTTAATTACCTTCCAGACCAAAAAACTATTAAATAAGCGGCCTAAGCAAATTCCTACCAATCTTTTTACTATGTTAATAAAACGTCAAAAACGAAAAGAATAAATAATACAAAATGAAAATGAAAAACAAGTAAAATAAATTAACCAGAACAACTAAATAAATAAACAAAACAATCCCGCAAATGAGACTGCCAGAAAAAAGATTTCCCCACAATGCATCACTGACCCATATATATATATATATATATATATAGCCGAGAAATGTCCAGCATTTACGGACTGACGATTGCGTCCAGCATAAACAGCATGTCGACTCTGAGCTTCAATATTCACTTAATATATATATATATATATATATATATATATATATATATATATACTGCTAGTACTAGTAATTTTTTTTCAAAGTATATGTTTTTTAAGTATTTTTATATCATTTTTAAATTTTATCCACAGTTGGGATTCTAACAGGGTGCACACCCCGGGACCGCGTGGACCTGGGAATACCAGCAATTGTGAGGTGGTTCCATGTTCCTCAAACGTACAGATCAGAAGCCTTGCAGCCAGATGTGTTCATCGTCATACCCAGAACGATCTTCATATATGCTGTTAAACATTATCGCCTAAGTCCTGTGAGGGACGGCATTTAAAAAAAATTAGACAAACATTTTTTAAGCAAATTTGTGCAAACCAATTAAAGTGAGTTACTTTGCACAAGACAAAGATAGTCGATTATACAATGATGCCTCTGTGCAACGAATAATTTAAATTATATAAAATATTTTCATATATTTGTATAGTATTCTCAGCGCAATGCGTTGCATTCGAGTAATATAACATTTTTAATATATTTTCATAGTTGAGAAAACAGATCTCCAGGATCAGATTAAATGTATCTATTTAATTTTGAACTTCAACGAGGATTATCCCTAAATGTTATACTCTTTTTTTCAGTATACCTCTTTGCCAGAACAATGTATCAGAAACAGCAACGACTCGTATCTACGTATGCCTGTCCTGCTAGGGGCAGCTAACCCGGAAATTCTTATTACAGACTACTTTTTCAGGCACATTTGTTGAACATCAACTTAGGATTTATAGTGCAACTATGCTGAGGCGACCGTAGTAACAGTTTCTGAAGAGAGCGTATTATGTGGCGTGAGCAACAGTTTGAACTGTAAACCTTCAGTCACGATGACCTGCGACTTCGTGCTACTACCTAACTTTATTCATAAGTCTTGCGTCAAACTAGGTAATTGTTTTCAGGCAGAAGGGATCGCTCTAAAATTCACATTCCTAACAAATTCGACATTGGTGTTTCGCGTCATTCGAACCAGCTATCATGGTCAAAAAACCAACGTTCTAACGACACGGCCTAGGTATCCATGGGTGATGAAATTTAACTGGGATGACAATCTTGTTAAACTTCAGAACCAAGCTAACCTCCTCATCTCATAATACTTCTTACTTCATCCTTTACAATAATCTGACTCACCTCCCTTTCTTGAGGGACACATGGGACTATTGGGCTAACTAAAGCATTAAAAATAAAGGCAAAATTGAATATAAAGTTTTGAAGGAGTTAAGATAAAAAATATTACCCCTTTAATTATACTATCAACTAACATTTTTGTCTTTCAAATAAAATTTATCAATTAAGGAATTTCTTCAATCCACGTAATATATGTATATATATATATATATATATCTCCACCAGTACTCACCCCACACATTAATGCCCTCTTAAGTATTTTGTTGTAGTGTTTGACACAAAGATGTAGTTCAATTAATTATTAAATGAAATTAATGCATTGGATCTGGCTTGTTGGAGATTATAGGAATCAAAGTGGTACATTTTGGGGGACACCTGTTCATGAAAGTTTATCGATAAATTATTTTTATCATTTTGTTTGAAAAATTGAGTCCAGGATCCACCCAAGCCCGGGTTAAATGAAAATTGCGATACCTCTTCTACGTTTTGACACAAACAGTTTTTACTTAGACACAATTGGTTAATTAAGTTAAAATTATAATTTTTAAAATTCGTCAGTTTTAAATATTGCCATTTATAGATAAAGAATTGGGCACTTCAATCTTTCGGTCGAAAAATAAAAATGAGTGACAAATGACAGTACACTGTTTCATCTATTTAAACTAATCTGTAACTATGTTCGTCATTCAATGAAAGGGTTTAGTTTGTTTTTTTACTAGATACCCCTCTTGTTAGGTCAAAATAACGCGTGTATTTGGTTCTCAGTAAATCCTGATACCAACTCATTCTCTATCAATTTTACTGAATACAGCCCTAAATGAAATGACCATTTTTTCTATATCATTCTACCCACAATATTTGATGGGTTATCTCCCTTGAAACGTTTAAGGGAGGGAAAAATATATCTATCCTTCGAAAAAGTTTAACTTTTTTTCTTTAATTATTTTCCAAGTACCCTTCAGTGGTAATTAAATTTTCCTGTTGCTAACACATCCATTTACAGGGTTTATATTTGGAATTGACTTTAGGAACACCATACAATTTTTCAAAAAATAAAAAATTAGGCATAAAAATATAACACTGTAAAATTTTATTTAATTCTTTGGAAAAGGGAGTTCACTTCCTTTTTTTAAATTAATACTGTCACGGAAAATCCTATTTATGGCTAAATTTATAAAACATTTTAAATGTACCTTTGCCAAATCCTTTAGTCTATCACTGTTGAGTTGTTTCTCTCCCTTTGTGAAAGTTTATTTTTATTTTTTTTTTTTAAAATTTAAATCTACCTTTTTTAATTATCAAAGGACCTCCAAAAAAAACTTGGTGATGAAGATTATATTGAAAGGAAAGAATAGGAACCAGGGATGGATCAACTGAACGTTTATTGAAAAAATATGTGAACCGGACGATTTTCCCATCACACATAAATCCCAACATTTCTTAATTTCACCCGTAATAAGATAAATTTCTTTCAATTTCATGTCATAGAGAAGTTTGGCTTTTGGTCACAAACGGAAATTCACCCTCTTCGTCTTCTCTTCCTCCTCCTCTTCTTCTTCTTCTGAATAATCTGAAGACTGACTACTTGACTCAGATGTCTGAAAAACGCAACATTGCAAAAGATGATTCGCAAATGAAATTCTTTGGCACGACAGTCGTACATTCAATATTTGAGCTTTCATTCAGAAAATGTTTACCATATATATATATATATATATATATATATATAGATCTTATATAAGACCTTCTATATTTTTTATAATGGAGGGGGTTAAATATTATTTACATAAATTTTGTCTTTCTAAATTCTATTATTGTGAACTATGGGCATCCCATGGAAATATATAAATGGTTATCTTGATCTCAAGTGTTTTATTGATGGACAAGCATATATATATAAGCTAAATTAGCATCCACATTGACAAAAGTTTAACACAGATGTAAAACTATATATATATAACAAAACTGATATATATATATCTATATATATTATTAATAGAGCATTATCTGCCTTCCTTTTCCTAATTCTTTCTTAATCGCAGCAACCTTGAAAACATTCACTCATAGCAGGATATGACAAATAACTGGAACCAATAACGTGGTGGGAAAAACATTTATAAAAAAACACATACAAAAATAACGTAACAGTCATGTTTTGAACTGGAATTATTGTCGTCCAGGATGTGTCAATTCTCAAAGAAAAACAAAAACCTATTGCAATCCACCCAAAATAATTAAATAAATGGGCAATACAATTGGTAAAGGGAAACCTAGCTGAACCTGAAGAACTTGTCCCCAAATCCATCTAAGCGGATCCCAACAGGGAACAAACCTGACGAAGGCCCTAAATAAAACACCACCATATTAAGGGAAACAGGGTCATGTTTTATTTCATATAGATTAACTTGTGAGCATGCAGTACTCATCCCCAACTTTTTATAGACTATGAATATCAAAAATCAGAATTCAAAAGTGGGGTTATTATTGGCCAGTCAGTGCTCTTGGTACAATGTGCCATATTGAGTATTACATAATTACAAAATTAATTTTTTGATAATCTTTCTTCCATTTTAATTTCAGTTGGTTTTATCATAATTTGTTTTACAGCCATTAAAAATTATTGCTGGGATCTATAAACAATATTCGCGTGTCCTAAAAAAGAAAGATCGTTCTGAGAAGAACTTCCTTTCTCCTCAGGACTTCCTCTCTCTAATGGAATTGTGCTATGAAAACTCATGAGTTGGCACTACTTATAATATTTTATTTACCCATATATAAAATACTTAATCTTACCCATAAGTTATAATGAACAACACTAAGGCTGGTCAATTTAAAGTTTTATTTGGCATTACATCCTTAGGTATGACAAAAATATCTGAATTTTTAAAAGATCATAGTTGGCCTGAAGGCAAGAAGAAAGAAAAAAAACAGGTGAGGAAAATAAAAAAACTGTTAAAATGAAATCAAAGGATTTTTAATTTTCACACCTAAAATTTTTTATTGCTAATACATCTAGGCTCAAAATTCATAAATTTAAATTTTTGAGCTTTAAACAATTACCATTTAAAAAAATAATTTTATAAATTTTTTAAATTCTTAATTTTTTATTTGCCATAAAAATGATCGATCATTTATTCTCTTGAAAAACTGTTATTTATTATATAACTTTATTGAAATGGTCTAATAACTAAATATAGTTTTAATATAATATATATGAAAATGTAAGTTTACACGTTCGATTTATATATTTAAATCAATTTTCTAAAAATTTTCGAATAAGGACAAATGTAATTAAGCATTTTTAAAAATTATTTCTAAACAGAATATATGGTTTGCATATGTTCAAATATAGATATATAGATAGTTTTATTTTATATTGTTATATATAAATATATATATATATATATATTATTCGTGCTGGTATTCTGATTACATATAATTCATGGGTATTTTTAAGAAAAATTTATTCAACAGACTGTGCCCTATCATTAATTTCATTTCTTTTTTATTTACCACTTTTTATCCCAACATTGTAATGTAATTTTAAGTTCATTAATGTTTTTTAATTTCTGGAAAATTTTTCTTTTTCAAACAAATTCTAAATTTTAATATTTATTCCTATTCTTTTAATTCAAAAAAATTATTTGTAAAAAAAAATTTTTATTTAATGTTAAAATTAAAATTCTCTTTTAAAAACAAAATTTTTCCTTTAAAATTCAATTTTTTAAAATTATTCATTTAAATAATTACCTCTTTAAAAAAAAAAAGGTAGCAAATTTTGCAAAATAAAATCAAGTATTTAATTTAAAAAAAAAAAAAAACTTTTTAAATTAAAATTTTTTTTTGAAATATCATTTTATTTTATATAAATATAATTTAAAATAAATAATTAGATAATTTTAAATTATATTTATTAGAAAGAAATAATTTTTCTCTGTTGTGATCAAGTTATATCCTTAAATTATTTTCGTAAAACTTTATGGTTTGCATCTAATTCTCATCTAATTAGAATTAATTTGATTTAAAAGAGATTTTTTTAAATCTTCATTTTTTCTTTCATTAGAAAAATAACATGAAATGGTATAGAAAATATTCCAATCTAAAAAATAACATATAATTTTTATTTGACCTTTTATATATATAATAATGATTCTTAGGTGTTTGGATTTTAAATAACCTTATTTTTTATTCAATTTGAATATATATATATATATATATATATATATAAATGGATAATTAAAAAATATTATATTGTTTCATTATTAATGCATTGAAAATTATATAAAAGATTTATAAATTGTGAATACAATTCATTTATATGGAAAAAATTTTATACACAAACATATTATTAAAAAAAATGATTTCAAAATGTCCTTTTATTTTTAAATTGATGATTTTATTGAATTAAAAATTTTATGTCACTAAAAAAATATAATAAAATTAAAACAAAATATATTCAAAAAAATATTATATTAATAATTTAAAAATATATATATTTTTTATTGAAATGAAAA